CCTTTCTGCGGAAGGCAAACAGATCAGACAAGTTCCAAGCTGCACCTTGAATGCCCTATAGGGATATCTTGCAGCCTAAGAACTTGGCCATCCGCCCTCCTCAGGAAAAACACAAAAGGTGAGCAAACACTTTAGGAGGCTAGAGGTGGGTCAGGACAGATAAGTGTCAGGGTATGCCAGGACTTCTTCTCCCTAAAGTTTGGAGACAAGGACGTCAGCTTAGCTCAGTAATAAGGTAGAGAATAAAAGGGACACATTGTTAGTGTGAAAAGCGAGCTGTCAAACTGGAGATTAAGTGCCTGACAGAGGGTGAAGGAGATGCATGATGCCATGGCGGGATGGGTATCCGTCACGTAGAACCTTGGCGACACGAAAGTGCCCGCCAGATGTCTTAGCCTATCACTAAGTCAACAACAGGGTAAACAGAAGAGCTAGCATACTTTTCGCCTCTTTCCACACATCACTGGATGAATGATACTGATATGGAAAATCACCCCACAAAAAGTAAACAGAAAAAGAATGAGGGACAGAGAAAAATAAGTTTGCCTGGAAACAAAGTCATCCCAAGGTCCACTGCTGCAAAGAGACAAATATGGCTTCAGGGCTGACATGGAGCCTATGATACATGTTTTTGTGTATGAAAGCATTTGTGTTGACCTTGTCCACAGGGTCTACATCACTGCACATCCCTAAAATCAAAATGCACAATATGTCCATTATCATACCTCGGAATATATGACACCCTTAAGGTATCCTGCTGTGTACCATTAATATTCTATAAACTGACAACACCAATATTGGTAATTACAACTTTAGCAACCAGTAAGTTGTCCAAAAAGTGACTCAATCTTCTCACAGTTGGTGAGATTGGGCTGCAACCCCTGATGTACGTTGACCTTCAAGCAAGAACTTTCTGAGATAGCAAACACTCAAGCTGCAGAAACAAAAGATAGTGAGAGAAAAGACAAAGCTAATAGGTGCTTAAGGAGTTTCAAAAGCAATGATTCAGAGGTACAAGGACACACCCAGTGGTCACAGGGTAAGGAGAAGTGAGAGTAAACACCATTAATATCGCTCTGAGAGGGCTTGGCCATACCGTTTGTTTGCTTCACAAATGTTCTGAATACAGTCAACTGAGAGATCTGATTTTCTCATTTTTTCTCAATAGACCAAAGTTAAAGTTGTTACTGTAGGGAAGATTTTATATCCCTCATAGATCCTAGCTGTGCATTTGCAGTTTGTTACTATTAACATGAACCACTTCCTCCAAACACATGATCCACAAATGTGTTGCACTCTCTTCTGCCATCTGAACACCCAAGAGAGTTAGACTAGTGAGTCCATTCAATACCAGTCAGTGAAGAGCACAATACCTCCAGCCATTGTATGGTGACATGACTCTATCAATAGGCAAGTCAGGTCAATCTACCGGCCAGATAATAGCAGCAGTCACTCTGATAGTAGATCCCACACTGGACTCTCTGAGGGCCTTGACTCACTCTGCTTGCTCAGGCCTTCCTATCCTGAGGGGTTGGCAGCCCTACACACACACAACCAGAGAGACACACACATACGGTAGACCTGAGGCCCTGGCGTTCTATCATGTTGTGCTAAAGGGGGAGCATAATGGTTTTTAAATGGATGACTCGGTGCTGGCCCAGAGAGGGAGTCTGAGACAGAAGAGAATGGCCATGGCCTGCAGCGAAGCAGCTCTTAGATTGAGCTGTCCGTCTCGCTGAAATGAGTCTGAGTTAACACCTCTTCCAGTCCCCGGTGCCCCAGGACAGACAATAGTAGGCTTCCTTTCTGCCTTCCTCTTTCTTCTTTCTCTCACTCCTACTCTTTCACTCTCTCTTTCTATTAGTCTCTCCGTTTCTCTCAACCAATCTACACTTTACTCAGATATCCAGAAAGCACTACAGCCTCCGCCATGTGATTGTTAGAGCTGTTTGGCTTCATTGGTAGACCGCGCTGCTCGCAAAGCCAACATAATGAGTTATTGCCAGTCTTAGTAAAAAATCCACAAAAATGCAGTCAGTGTAGTTAAAGTGTTTTGGATTCAAGTGTACTGATGCAGATGGCATATATCATTGTTGATGAGTAAAAAACCTTGTAACTGCAATTCTGGTGATTTCATGTTTCTAAGGATTATAGGGCTTCATGCACAGTATACAATACTACAACCTTTGATTTTAAGATAATTCAGTCAACTTAAAATGAAGAGGTCATCAAGAAAAAAACAAGGCTGTTTAACTCTTAGGAGCATTTTTGGGAAGAAAATCTTCTCACCCAATATTAGCAAGACAGTATACTGTAATTTATAATTAAGTGGAAGCACAATTAAATTAATCACTCTGATAAACAAATTTAGCGCTTAATCCAATTTTGTCTTCCTACCGAGAAGGGTTGAGCCACAATGTATGAGACCTTGGTTAGATATGATCACATTTACACCACAGAGATCTCAGATGACTTCACTTATTATCTCTCATAACACTTCCCCCTGTTTTGGCAGGGAAGTGGTGTAACACACACACATTCACAGAATTTCCATGAAGACTCTTCCAGCATTTCAGATGCTGTGCAAAATGTGTTTTTTTGCATCTTCTTTTCTAACTCCATCCATCCTCATTAATCCTTGTTTCTCTCTTATTTCTTTTAACATCTTTCTTCACTCAGCCATTCTTTTGTCGCTCCCTTGCCTGTCTATTTGTCTAAGACCAGAGGCAGTAGATGTGTAGAGGGGTAGATGGTGAAAGGGGGGAGAAAGGGGGTGTATGGGACTCCTAGGGGAGTCTGTTGATGACTATCAACAGGCTGACTGTTATGACTATCTGTGATAAGAGTCTGGGAGACGAGAACCCCTGAAGACTTCCAGCCCCAAACCAGACAGAATAAGTCAGAGTGAGTCGTCCAACAACCAAACAGGAGGAGGAGGAAGGAAAGACGGATCAGTCAGACAGGTTGGTAGGCAATGATCAAAGATTTTACCTTGAGGGGAAACAAAACTGACCTCAGGCTATCAGCTACATGCAAGGGAAAAAATTGCATTTATCGCAAACTAAATTTCTAAATTGTCACCAAAACACCAAAAAATATGCCAAAGTCAGTGGAAGAACCTGGACTATCCAGACTGTATTAATCTACATACTTTACAGTACCTTACCGGGTGGCTTATTAAACTTCATCTTTACTTCAAACTCCCTCTTAAAGTAACCAAAAAACAAGACATCTTAAAAGTGCAACAATATGCTGACTCTTTCCCTTTTCAGGGACTTGTGTGTGTGTGTGTATGCCAGGACATTTCTGTGAGTACATGTGTGAATGTATCTCCTTAGAGCTGAAGGTGGCCTTTTTTCCTACAAGGCAACGAGTTAAAGCCTCGCTGATGAATATGCATAAGTCGGGTGTCTGGGGAGAAAAAAGGAAGGAGGAGGAAAACTGAGAGAAAACATGAGAGCTACGGGAAAAGTGTAGCTTTTGGAGAGGTGCCCTTTGCACCCTGAATGGCTAGCCATAATATGAACTTTAAAAAGGAAAATGGTGTCAGTCTGGCATGCTGCCACATAGCGTGTGCCTGTGTGCTCTAATCGCCTGCTCTTACAACTGTAAGAAGAAAACAGAGTGAAAAAAGAAATGAAGGCTTTGGTGAAAACCACCAGGAATTCATCAGACTGAAGCTATTAAGGGAACCCTGACAGATTCCTTTAAAATCTTGTCAATGAGGGATTCATGAGCATTACTTTCATGAGCCAAGTTTTTCGGGGATATTATATTTACAGTTTATTTCTCAGTTTCTCTCAAGAAACTGTGGAAAATTGAGCCACATTCTTAGGGAATATAATATCGATTGTAAACGCCTTTAATTCTAAACTTGTAGTCTCCAATATCGTCAAACTTACTACTACAATACTGTGATACTACATCAGTAGCAGTCATCTGTGATGTTTTCTTTACCACATGTGTGTTATTGCTTATCTGAGATAGCAGTAAGAAAGATATCCAAGCTGAAGAACTCCCCGCTGTAAAAGTAAATTTCAGTAAACTTCTATTTATGTTATCCTATGTGCTAACATACAATATACAATATTTGCTTACAATACATAGTTATCTTAAACTACAATATAAGAGTGAAAGTTAGAAACAAGTGACTGCGTGGCCCATTGGTCCACACCTAAAATTTTATAATGTGTACATCAGTTGGTGGTGTCCAATTCAAGCACATCATGCCCTTTCCAACATGGTGTTCCAATGATTAACTTGTCAAAGTCTCTGTTCCTTATTGCATACAAATGTAATATTAAACTATGTGAATGACCAGCCCCCTAAAAATGAAGAGTCAAGGAGTCAGTGAAATGAAAAGCAGGCCAGTATATTTCATCTCTGATTAGGCATATGAGAAAGAGAGAAAGGGAGACAGAGAGAGATCAGGAGTTTCTTTTTTTCCTAATGAGCTTACTGAAGCAACTTCAATATCCTCTAATGTCATGTTGAAATGAAAATTAATAGTTCAATATGCCGCTACCACATTGGGCCATGCTTCTTCCATTTCCATATCGGGTGGCGTGACCAAATGAGTGTGCTCGCTCGGACCGACGCCCAGAAAAGCTGATACCTCCGCTAATCAGCCAGATTTTTCCATCTGACATTGCTGTGCTTTTGGAATTCTGGAGTGTGTATCGAATGTGTGTGTATGTCTGCGTGTATGTTCAGGATCTAAGATGAGGTGCAGTCATACGGGGGATGCAAATGGAAGTGGCATCTTTGCTGACGATGAGATCAATTCTGGAAATGTGAATGCATGAATGAGCGGCTCGTTCATTCACTTACCCTCTCCAGTGTTGCTTCATTGTTTTTATCACTCTTTCATTTCATATATATACATTTGTGTTTGTATCACAAAATATGTGAGTGGTCAAAAGTGTGTCAGTTGTAGTGAAAGGAGAAAAAAACTGAAAACAACACAAAACAAAGTACAAAGCAGTCAGGCTGGTTCCTACCTCCCATCCAAAGGAGCTGTCTTTGCTCGTTGCCCCATGATGCAGTGTGCTGTGCAGACCAAACCTCTCGCCAGCACCAATGCGAGTCTTGGCCCAAACACCTAGGCCGGCACCCGGCACCGAGGACTCCCGCAGCTCCAGGTCGCTGGGAATGGGAATGTCGTCTGGAATGTAGACAGGTGCCTCGTAGGGCGAGCCCTCCTTGGGTGTGGTGAAGTCCTGGTCATTGCTGCTGCTGTTGCTGCTGTTGTGAAGGTGGTGGTGGTGGTGGGTGGCGTAGATGTGGGGGTGCAGCAGGTGGTGGTGGTTGTTGTTTGGATGGGAAGGAGTCGGTGAGGGTAGGGGGGACATGTTGATGATGCCGTCTTCTGCGTCATCTTCTGGGCTGTCGACACCACCTCCACTGCCAGCCGCTAAACCCGGGAGGTCAGCCTCTGTGTCATACATGCTTTCCACTGGCTCACTGTCATCTATGAGACAACACACATGTACAGAGACGATTGTTAATGGGCAGGTAGAGGAGGTACAACATAATATACAGTTTCTTCAGAGATTACACCATGGAGGTCATAGATGTTACTGTCAGAACGGTAAATGGAAAAGAGAAAATCTCTGTTTTGCTGAGCTAAATTTAAACTATTAATTTCAGGGCTGCGTTGGGGGTTGGCTTTTTAAAATACCAGTGACACATTGAAATGATCTAAGGACAATGATTCAGGAAGTCAAGTTGCCCAATTACTTTGTGTTGAGTCAGTTTAAACTTTTCTTCCAGACAATCCTGTGGGTTTTTTTTTGCCGGATCCCTCTACATTGGCACCACTGTTGCGTCAACAGACTTGCTCCATTCAAATGAATGACCGGGCTGCATTTTTTTTCACCCAGATCTGCTGGCAGGCTGTACACAGCCTAAATCATATCTCCATCCTCAGGAGACACTACGCATCCAATGACTTCTTGACCCTAAATTACAAAAACAACACCACCCTTCAATCTCCAAACCTCTAAACTGTTCGAAAACCACACTTTGCAATGAGAGAATTTTGGGGTACCTATCCATCTGACGGTCTTCAGTTATAGGATGCTGAGTTCACAGATTTGTGATTTATGTGAAAAGAGCCAGACAGACGAGGAGAAGAAGCATTAGGTTAGCCAAGTTCTTGATGGGAAAAGTTCTCAATTCCATTGCAGTCGCTGTTTTATGCCAGGACTCATCTTACAAATAATGGCCATGTCTATCACTGACCTTGTTAGCCTCGTCACATCCAGAGATTGACAACTTGATTGTGCCTGCGCTTTAGGATCCCACCATTCCAGAGTGAAAATGATAATGAGCACCAAAAGTGTGTGGGTGTGTGTGGATGTACATAACATTTGGCTTTCATCTTCTGTTGCCCAATAATGCAGCTATTTAAGTTTCATCCCATTCCTATTATTATTATTATTATTATTTATTAGTAAGGTTTTTTTGCAGACAGTGAAGGTTTCTAAATGTGCATGTGCAAATGCATCATGGTGAGCTGCTTTGCTGTGTGTGGTGTGTGGGAATCAGTGCTGAAACGATTCCTGCATTTACGTACTGATAAGATACTTTTTTCAGTATCTTGTTTTGAAGAATACTTTTTCTACAAAAGAAACTTTTCAAATGTTTGAACACAAGCAGCCAATGCAATAACTTTGCCCTAATATAATAATTAGGATTTAAATCAGGAATAACAAAGATCACAAATCGGACCAGACAGTTAATGCAATATTGCTGCCATAGTTGACAGTTTTCAATATTCTGTGCTGCCAATACACTTCAGTCAGTACCAAAAATTTGTAGAGGTTCAATACCCAGCCCAAGTCTGTAAGTATTTGTGTGTGTCTGTGTGTGTGTGTGTGTGTGTTTGTGTGTGCCTCAGCACTTCTATGTCTCCTTTTCCTCTCTAGACAGTTCCTGGTGTCTTCAGTCAAAGCACCACTGCAGTTTTACTATCTAAACACAGGGACTGGCAATCAGCGGGCTAACTAGGCCCAAAATTACAGCAGGAGTGGTTCCAATCAAGCTCTCTCCCTCTGTTAGCCTCCATCTAGCCAGCTGCCAAGTCTGCCACCACTTCCCAGGTTTTAGCTGGAGCTGCAACATGACATTTTAAAAATGTGCTTGTTAGTACATGGAAGTTTATTGGGTCACAATGAATGTTTGTGGCTTAAGTTTTAATAAAACCTGATGTAAGATATTAAACATTTTTCTGTATATGCTAAATAAGGTGAAAAGAGAAACACTGGGGCTAGAAAATTGTAGAAAGATTGAATGAGCTAATCAAGAAACCAAAGTAGAAAATGTCATCACTGAAATCGTACAAAAGCACATTCATCGTACAGTGCATCAGTTTTTTGTTCTTTGATAAATATTTGGGTTTCTGCCCAGTGACAGATGTGGACTGTGAAAGCTGTTAAATTAACTGACATGTAAGTTTTAAATGTGAAATGTGAAACTATGAAAGCATGCGACAAGGGCTTTTCAGCGCCTGGCAAACCTGCAGCCTGTCCACGCAGATCCGGGAAACTTATCATATAAAGCTGCAGCAGTAAAATCCAGTCTTTTATGACTGATTCTGCGTCATCCAGTGATTTTGACTGGAAAAGAACCCATTTTTTAATGATCACTGTTTCATAGGGGCTCAGTCCAGGCGTGCAATTAAACATTGGAACATGTGAGCCAGCAGTAGCTTCCACTTTTCACAGATCAATTAAAGTTTTATAACTCAGCCCTATCTGCTGCTCCCTCTGCACAATCAAAAGTGTTTTTAGGCTGTTAAACACTTTTTTTCACTCGCTCTCCCTCTTCACTCTCCCACTCTCATTGGCACTTGACCCACTGAGAGCAATTTTGACAAGGAGAAAGACAGCCTCGGAAAATCTATTAAATACTATTTGCCTTTAAGAGCCTCTGTGTGCACAAAAAAATGCACAGATCACTACATCAAATAATTAAGTAACAAGGAGAAAGAGGGGAAAAAACCCTCTTAATTTGAATGAACAAAACATCTTTTGTGAGACACATGAAGCAGTAAAGCGAAGCAGAAATGGCAGACGCAGTGTGATATTAAACAAGTTCAACTCTCAGACGTAACTGAGTTAATTCATAAAAATGTTGCCTGGAGAGAAAAAGTTTTTTGATTACTCGCCACTAGAGAAAAGCTCTCTCTCCCTCTGTAAGACAAGTTGACCATGTTCGACCAGCACCAAAAAAAGTTGCAGATGAGAAAAGTAAGCAGGAAAATAATGAAAGGGGCCAGGAGGAGGACAAAGTGGAGGCGGCGAAGAGTCTAAAAACTGACGACTGAGCTGCTTTTAAACAGCTGTATGTTAGCTCTGGGTCTCAAAAGACCCAGAAAGAGATGTTAGGTTCATCTCCCTAAGGGCTTCTTAAAAAACACCCGGGCCAGATAGTGCCTTCCTCTCCCTGGCTCCTTATGTTGTTCTTTCTCTCTCTGTTCCTCTCGCCATCTCTTTCTCTTTTACGGGGAGCTATTTATCCTGATTACATCAGGGGTCAATCATTAATTCGCACCTTGGGGGTCCCGGTGCTGGCTGTGGCTACAATGGGCTGCTTGTTCAGCGGCTGTTATTTCAGTGGAAAACTACGCTGCTCTGCCTGAGAGACGGGCCCAGGCCACATGAAGGCATCCCATTTATTTGATAAATTGTAAATGCGTGCCATAAACGGAGCTCTTTGCTTTGTAGCATCGCTTGTAATAACAAAGATTTTAGGGCACATATGAACACAGATGCAGGCTATCACACAAACACACATCTGTTTGCAACTGCAGGAGCTGTTACTGTACTCTAAACACATGTGCAAGAGATCAGATGGTGTTGTAGGTAAAGATGATATCTCATAATTACTGCATGTCACAGTTAAATTACAAGATATGACAGAGATATGACATTTATAGACACTAACCTCTAAAACATACATTTAACAATGTCAAATAAATTAACAAAAGAAAAGCACACAACACTAGTACAAGCTATTAAATAAAAATCTGACTGTATTTCATTTTGAGAATCAAGATAAAAAAAATAAAAATACAAGAAAAAATATGAAAAGCTGATAACTGTAATCAGCGTTGCCATGGCAAAATAACTTGACACGGTGCTGAAAATCAGCGGTTTAATCGGAGGGTCTTACAACGGGCAAATTGTTCTGTGGTTGTGTTTAATCAGAGCACTCTAGACTTAAATGCAGAAAGATAGAGATCTGGAGTCATTTTCTGCCGTCTGCCTGGACGCACACAAACACATGTGCCTTGTGGCATATAGACTGAGCTGTATTATCGACATAGTCTGGGTAGAAAGAAACAACACCGACTGCATGCAGGAATTCTGGGAGGGGAATCTATAAATACTGCATCAAATTAGGACCAAATAATTTCTTGCAGCATAAGCAGTCGTGCCTCCATTGAGAAAAATAACGAATCTTTGCAAAATTGTAGGTAAAGATGCATTTTTACTTATATATATATATGTGTGGGTGTATACAGAGATGCTCATATTGTAAAGCACTGCAGACCACAGGCTAGAATAGATGCCAATAATAACTTAAGTATTCAGAGCCAGGTGCATTCTTTGCTAGAGGGCAAGCAGCACAGTGGAGCCATGGCTGTGGCTATGATAACAATAAAAGAGAGCTGGAAATAGGACGTGTGTGCCAATGATGGCCATCATAAAGCACACACGTCCTATTTCCCTCACTGCTTTCCCTGTCCAACCCACACAGAGACTGTATCTTTGTCTGGCAGTAAATTGATCTGGTTCAATTCAAAAGGAAAGCCAGCCACTGATGAAAAGACAGTATCCAGGGAAAAGGCAAAACTATGCAAAATTCTGCACCAGCTCCAAATATGGGGAGAAAAAATTGTCTGGTGAAAGAAAAAAAAAAAAAACGAAGGCAGAGGGAGAATGTGTGGACCATGACAGATATGAAAAATGGGTAGCTGGTTGAGCAATAAATGACCAAACATTTTGATGTGGGAGCTCTGCGCGTACATGTGCACATGTGTGTGAGGTGCAGCATTCAAACCCAGGCTTAATCTGCTGTTCATGCCACTATATTGGGTCAATATGGTCCCACTTAGCTGCATTATTGGGCCACAGAGTGATATTGGTACCTGTTTCTCTATAGTAAGTAGGCCTTTGATGATTCTCTCTCCACACAAAAGAGCCTAAACACCTCTGCTTTAAAACAGGAGGGGCGGAGGAGAGAGCCAGCTGTAAAAATCAAACGAGTGCAAATCAAAGGTGGAGTGAGTGAGACTGAGAGGTGAAAAACTGTACAATGGTGTATTTTTCCACAGTGGCACGGGGGTACCATATATCCAAAGTGACGTATAAATGGAAGCATGTGACGAGGGTGTTCAGGGGAGAAGGTGTGTGTTTGGAAGTAGTGAGTGAGCAAATGGGGGCACGGTCAGCTACAATACTA